CACCCCCAAAATTTTCTTCTCCCCCCCCCCCCCCCCCCCCCCCCCCCCGAGCCTCCCTTCACCATATCCTCACCATCTTCCTCCCATCCCTGTTGTTAATGTCTGTTTAAGTATGTCAGGCACCAATCCACCAGTCTCTTTGTCTGCGTTTTTAATGATCTGCAAATGAATCTGCTCCTAATGGCAGTATCTGATTTGGACATTAACATAAAATGGACTAAAAATGCATGATCTGTTACAATATTAAGTTATTACAGCGCCACTGTGGGTACATGTAATTGTTACCCTCTACTTTGACTTTTTTTTAATATATATATATATTTATAAAAAGAGAGCTGACATTTACAAAGCCTTTCTTGAAAACTCTTCAGGGAACTGCTGGCCTACATTTAAATCTCATTTGTAAAGAAGACTGAAGACAAAGCTGTTTTTAGTACAAATTAGGTCTCCACCCAACAGGTTAGCAATCTGTTATTTCTGAGGAGGAAAAAACAACAAATAAATGGAACAAAGGCAATCCAGATTTTCAGTTCGGCCGAAAAAAAAAAACAATTTAGAAGGTTTTAGTTTTATTTATAGTGTTAAAAGTGTTTGGTAAATGATTTTCCGTCTTTGAAAATACCAGCCATACCATCCGGGCAGCAGGCGTGAAAACCCATTCCAAAATGGCAGGCGTTTAAATATAAAAACAACTCAGCAACCAGCCGGCATGTTGGCCGGAGACACAGCTATCGCCTACAGCTCCACACAGCAGGCTGGGCTTGAAAGAACAAAAAAGAACACAACTAGAGCAGTGAGAATTTTTTAAAACAAACATATTATTGTCTACCAAACACAGGTGATGAGGAGCAGGAGATCCAGAACAGTACAGGTTTGTTGAGGGAAAAGAACAACAGATGAACGTGTAAACGTGTCAGGCAAATGTTGGGACGTACAGCAGCACCACAGCACAGAACAGGACGACAACAAAGTCAACAGGTGAAGGAGGGAGGCCTCGTGTAGGAAAGGTATCTGAAATATCCTTGTTTCAAAATGACGTTTTAAAAGCCTCTTTTATATACAAAAATATCAAGGTCTCTGGGAGAGTTACAAATGCAGCCAGTAGGTCGGAGGTTTGACCTAGTGATTTTTGGACAAAGATTTAGACTTTAAATCATTGTTTTCCAAAGACTGGGTCGCGACCCTCAGGTGGGCCCATAGCTGCCAGTTTAAAAGCTCCACCTGTGGTAACGTGTAATGATGCAATTATTTTATTGACTATTTTGTTCTGATGTTGCTGGTTCAACTGAATGTTGAAAAGAAAAAGAAATGGGCTACATTTAATGTCCAAGTAGTCTAATTATGGATACCTTTGTTGCTGGTTCAATTACTGTTCTTTGTCGTTTAAAACTAAAGTAATACTAATTGTTCAGATATCACTATTCTTTCACGTTTCCTCCCAATCGGAGCCTGATCCAGCTCGTCACATGGGTAATCAGCCTCTGTGCTTTCATTTGGCTCAGTAATAAAAGCAATCCCCAGGCTTTTCACTACAGCACAGCCCAAATATTACTGTTGTCTCAGCCCCCCCCCACCCCCCCCCCCCCCCCCCCCCCCCCCCCACCCCCCCCCCCCCCCCCTCCCCTCCCTCTACCTGTCCGCTTTGCCACAGTGACAGAGTCCCAGCCTGCTGCACTGCTGTGCTGTGCCCGGGCTGCAGGGTCTGTGCCTGGGCTGCTGAGACACACACACACACACAC